AAGATCAGGCGAGATCCTGGCACGTCCTTTTTTTTTTTTTTTTTTTTATACCCAGAATCTCCAACAACCACATGGAAGTTCAGGCTTCAGCTTCCACCGAGAAATCTTTTTCTCCTCCAGATCTGAAGACAAAAGGAGAGGAGGCCTGGTGGTGAGCGGGATATCTCTGTTAGTTGTCAGTGCAGGTCCATGGGTTAGGAATGCTAATGAGCCTCTTGGCCAGCTGAAGACTCGGTTCTCTCTCGTACACCCTGACGTTCACACACACTCAGGCTCATGCATGCCGACTGACAAGCACACAGACAGAGGCTTGCGCATGACCCTGCCTCTCTCCTTTTTCCTCTGAGCCCAGAGATCGATCGCTGACCCCACCGTTGGGCCAACGCTTTATTTATCTGGCTGCGCAATGATATTTTCAGCCTTAAGCGTTATATACAGCAAATGTCTTCCTAAATCAACACAATAGGATAGCTTGCGGAGACCAGCCTGGTCTCTCTTAAAGAAATCCCTTGTTCTCTCTCTTTTTTCCCTCCCCTCCCTTACAGACACCCCTTCTCCTTTCCATCTTTACAACTGGGGCTATTTTATACGTTGGACTGGGGGGGATTTGATCTCTTTCTATCAGCTTGGTTGGAGGAGGCCTTAGCAGACTAGGAGATGGATAGACACATTATCCACCCATCACTGTGACCTCCATCAGGGGTTCCCTTGTCAGCCCGATCCAACTGCCTAGACCTACTCTATTCACATGACCCGGATTTCTCAAAATTGGGGTGGAAGAGAAGGCGAGGGGTGGCCAATCGAGTGTGCAACCTTGCACCGTGTTAATTGTTTTCTTTCCTCTCAATTACATTCATAAACCTATTTTCTGCATTGCACGTTATTTCTTTGTGCTTCAAAATTGAAACCACGTGCAGCCTTCTCCCCTCAGCACACACAATAAATGCGCTGCCCCCTCCCCCAACCCATCACACAACTATTTACATCTTGGTTACTCACTCTGCGCTCCGGCCCAGGAGAAGAGATTGGCCCCGCGGGACTAGGTGAGGCTTTGTGAAAGCATCTCTCAAATCGGTATCTCGGCCCCCTAACTCGGGGAGAGGCTCCTGAGCTCCCCTCCCGGCCTCCTCCCGCCCTCTCCTCGCACAGGTGGTTGTGGCTTACTCTGGGAGAGCTAGCACGGAGGACATCTAGGGAGAAAGGCAGCTCAGCTGTATCCGGCCGGGCCCGCCCGCTGCCCGCCCCACACCCTGGCCTGCGGCGAGCTCGTCTCCACCGGGCCCTGGTCCACGCGCCCTGGGCGCAGCGGAAACCGCGTAGGGAGCGGCCGCTCCCCTGGGAGCCTTCCAGACCCAGGTTCTCCCAGGCAAAGAAGTCCCACCATAAATAAATAAATAAAGTCCAAAGGCGGGGGGAGGGAGGGCTGGAAAATGGATTCGCTGACAAGGAGAGATAATAAATGAGAGGCGCTTTCAGATAGATATCTCAGACGTGAAATTGCGCCCAGCTGGTTGTGTAAGCAAACAAATAGTTTCATGTTAGGAACTCTCAACTTGTGGCTTGATGAATAGAACACGACAGAGGTAAATGGGTCTTTAACTCATTTAGGAATACAACTCTTTGGCTTTCCAAGTAAAAGGCCCAGTGACGCCACGAATCCTGAGCAGGCCCTCTAACAAGAGTTTTATTAGTTCCCACTTGTGTTTCCCTGAATCCCTTCCCCACGCTCCTTCACGGTTTCCCATTGCAGAGACATTCAGGTGATTTGTTCTGAGGAATCGAGGAGCTTACGAGGTGATTCTGCCGCTGTAGGAGACACAAGGACTGCCTACGAGCGGAGGAGGAGAAGCAGGATTTTTTAAAAATAAACTTTTGCACACTCCAAGCAGACGGGCTCAGGTAGGCTTGGGTGCAGGGGCCTCCAGATCCCCAGCGCCCCTGAGCGCAAAGTTGGGCGGAGGGGCTTCCAGGAGCGGACGGAGACCCTTTGCGGCTGCCAGAGACCAAGCGCCTGAACCGACCGAGGTGCAGAGTTCCGGAAGCCCAAGGTGGTCCTGGTGGCCGGGAGGGAGGCCGATCCCCACCCCCGCGGGCTTCCGCCAGGCCTGGCCGCAGGTTGGGATGTGCATGTCGGGGCAAAGGTCATATTTTAAGTCCTTTGCGCCAGTCCTTGTCCCTCCGCGGCAGATGAGGCGCAGCTATAGTCCCTAGAAATTGCCGGAGGAGAGCAAGTCCCAAGACAGCCTTTTTTGGTGCTTTCAGCAAAGTTTGTGGCTACAGTAGTTTAAACCGACTTCAAAGCCCCTAAAATTCTCAACGTTTGACTTTCATTATGTCACAGGTAATTTCCAGAGGGAAGTCACCTTGTGTGGGACACTCTCCAACTGTTAACATGGGTTTCCTCTGACCCTGGGGGTACCCGTCGGTTCTACCCCGCCCAGTTCACCCAGCCCCACTCTCCTGAGTCCTCCAGCGGACTTTCTGGGCTACACCTGCCTGCGGCCTCACACCTGGGTTCCAGGGCTCCCCCTGGCGCTTGGCTCTAAGGTGGCTCAGTGCTCAGGGGCCTCCGGGCAGCCACCCAGGCAGAGGAGACTCCCACCTGCTCCACGTGGCCTTCTGCCCAGCGGCTCCAAGGGTCTGATGTGGCACAGGATCCTGAGGGGGCACCCCGGCCTCTAGTGGGCTGTTGCTCCACACTGCGAGGGGCCCCCGGGCCGCTGGGCCCTTAGCTCCCCCGCCATGGCCACTGGTCAGCCCGGCCAAGGAGATTGTAGATGGCCGGGAGCGGAGACGATGCTTCCTGTTTGTCGGAAGCTTCACCCGGTGGCTTAGATGCCTGTCTCAGTTCGTAAACCTTCCCTTAGCCCGAGCAGATTCATAGGGCCCAACTGCGCGCTCTGAGAATGGAAAGCCTCGGGTTGCGGACAGCCTGTCCTGCTCTGCAGGGGCGTCCACATGGCCCCTGGGAAGGCTCCATCTCTCTGGCTGAGACGCACAGAGAGCTCTGAAGATGACTGTCTCTCTGTGTTTAATGCAGGCGGGGACTACCCCAGCCACCAAGGAGGCAGCGGAGGAGAAACCCACTGCCCGCAGATCCCAGAAATGGCCTCTGAGCATCTCTTGTTCGTCCCCAGGGCCTCCTGGTTCCTAGACCAAACCTGTGAGGGAGTCTGTGAGGCCACAGGAAGGCCTGCTTTTCTTCCTATGCTGTGCTGGTCACCCCCCACCCCCACCCCTCCAGCTTAGGCCCAGGCTTAGAAAGGTCACTGGGATTCCCCAGGCTGTAGGCTGTTGAGCAAGAGACAAGTTAGCACTGTCAACTCTGAGCCCTGGAACAAGTGCTTCCTACACCCTGGGCCTCGGCTTCCTGGCCAATCCCACTTTGGGTGCCTTATGCTTGAGCCTCCATATTGAAATTAATTGAAAAATACGTTTCTGACCTACGAAAATGTTTATCTGTTTTCATCAGAGGGATCACACTGTAATGAATATATTTACATCTCATTTCAAGAAAGGTAGAAAAGATCGGTGGAGGCAGCTCAGCTCCCTTCAGCAGCCCCCCGCAGCAGCCCAGCCCACCCTAATCCCCCCACTCCCGGGAAGGCTCCCTGAGACTTCCTGGGGGGCAGTCAGTGGTTAAATACGAGTTCTTCCCACGCTCCTCCTGCCTTGGGTGCCCAACCTGCAAAGAAGTCAGCCTAGACCCAAAACCATTGCCCCTGGGTGTGGTGCAAAGGATGAGGCCCAGGGCCGGGTGGGACCTGCTGGAAGGGAGGAGGGCCCCAGGGGCTCCACACCCCACATACCCTATCCGTCTAGCTGCCCTAGGGCTAGGGCCGGTCCCCAGGCGGACCTGCAGGGTCTTCTTCACAGAAAGCGGTGGCATTGCCGGGCTGCTCTGCCCCCAGAATATTAAAACCTTAGGTGGATTGGAGCTTGTTCATGCATTTTTAAAGGGGTGAGGCCACCTGGAGACTTCTAGACAGCAAATTGAGAGCAAAACTTTGCCACTGCCTTCAGAAAGTAAAGCCTCATGCCTCATCCGTGCCTGTTTGGGGCTGGGGGAGAAGGTGAGGGAAGAGGTGAAGAGGTGTTATTTTAAAAGACCTGGCTTTATTAATATGTTAAGAAAAAGCTCCCTTGGCAATATGTGTTCTCACAGTGCCAACTTGGATCCTATAAAACATTCATGCTCTGAAAGCTGTTACAGAGAGCAGACCCACACACACACCAAAGGGGAGACCTCAGCAGGAGGTTGCTGCCCTGAAAGGGCCACTAAGACTCACACACCGCTTCTGGAAAGAATCTGCTCCAGCCCAGCTGCTGGACTCCCAGGTTCCAGGTCCACACTCCTAAGTGCCACAGTGGGGCCCTTCCAGATGCCCCACAGAGCTAGAGGGCCCTCCCGGGAAACCCCTGTGACAGGGTCTGGAGTGAAGGGTAAACCGTAGCCAGATATAGCGGACCGCAGGAGGAGCAAAGCCAGGGCTTGCAGCTGAATCCCCAGCTTTCTCTCCCAGAGCTGGGAAGAGGCTGACCCTCCAGTCACAGATGAGACGCAGAGGTGTCAGAGTGGCCCTCTCCATGCTGAACCCCCCCCACCCCACTGTCAGGGCTCCATCCTCTCCAGCCAGGCAAGTTCCCACCTGCAGATACTGAAGCAGGCAGCGCAGAGACTCAACCCCGAGGGACCGGGCCTGCTCCAGCCTCCTGGCCAGCTGCGTGCTGGCTGCCCACCACCTACAAGGTCACAGTGGCTGCTGCCGGCACCGAAGTGCCCTGCCACCCACCCCCCCCTCTGTCCCATGCAGAGCCTGGCCTTCCACATTTACAAAACCAAAGCAGCTGCTTGCTTTTAGGAAATAAATCTAGCCAACTTGGTAATGGACCTTAAAAGTTTTCCCCCTCACCCCGCCATTCTAATAATAATCGGAGTGGAAAATAATTGGAGGGTTCTCTTGCGCTGATGACATCTGTCAAGCAACCAGACACGTGGGTTTTGCTAAATTCTTTTATTTTTTGTTTAAATTTTCACTTCAATTTTAATTCTTGAAGAACAGCCTCGACAACATATATCGCACTCATTATAAGAAGCAAAGGGTTATATCAAAAATTATTAGTATAGAATCACAGGAAATCTGGTTTGGAACCAGAAAAAAATACAAAACAGATATAGATACATAGACACAGGACAATTTTTTTAATAATTATTTGGAAAATGTTATTTTCCCCTAATTCTTGTTTCTTTTTTATGTGCATACGATGTTTAAATTTTACAAAAAAATGAAAATAAAGACTAGTATTTTACAAAATGAATAACAATGTGTGTGTGTGTGTGTGCGTGTGTGTGTGTTTCTACATAGGATTCGGTCCACTTCCATGTGTGTTGTTTTCTGTACAGAATATATCCACATCTGTCCACAATAAATCCTGGAAGGTCCGTTAGTCTCCTTCTGTTTTATTAAAATTTTCATGGTCCTCTCTTCCAAATTTTTTTCTTTTTCTCATCAGACACAAGGTCTTTTTCCTTTCCTTTCCAACGTGTCCACAGATCTGACACTAAAAAGAGTCTCTTTTTCTCCTGGTTTGCAGCTCGGGTTGCATTTCTGCACGGTGGGCTGCTCCTGTCGCCCTGGCCCTCCTCCCCGCTGCCCGGCCCACCGCACCCTGCATCGGCCGCCTGGTGTCCCCGCGGCATTGGAGTCCACGGCCCCCCGCCGGTCCTGTGAGTCTCTAGGGGGTGGGGGCAGGTGGGAAGCGCCCAAGGTCTAGGAGCACTGGATAGACATGTAAGGCCAGTTGAAGCTGCTCCCAGACAGTAACATATCGCGGATGAGAGTTTCGATGGGGGTTTTACCTACCAAACGGACGAAGAAGAGCTGCTCGATGACCGAGGAGGATACGGTGCGCAGCGAGGGCAGTCGTAGTAGCAGTTTGCCGAAGCGGCTGGGCTGGTTAGGGTACTGGCTCCTCACGTACTCCTCCAGCGCGCACTGCGACTTCTCCTGCAGGCTCTCGATGTGGGCGGCGTCCGACAGGCCACAGGCATCTGCCCAAGCAGCCACCGGAAGGAGAGACAAGGGGAGGGGGCACACGGTTAGGTCAGCGGACAGCAAAGTCACAAACACCAAGCCGTTCATTTTATTTTTTTTTTCTTTTAAGGAGCAAAGGGGAAAAAATAGAAATAGAAGGAAGAAGAAAAGAAATCCTCCCCGCCATGCCTCCCTACTCCTTCTTCACTATTTCCTTCCCCCGGCCCCCAACACAAATACAAACAAATCAAACTCCCACCAGGCCTGGGGAGCTGGAGAGACAGGCACACACTTGAAGAGGCAGCAACCTCTCCAGTCCCTTTGTTTCTCCTCTTTCACCTTTGGATTAAATAATGTACGATGCTGGAGCCATGTTTGCTGTACACAGCAACCTGTCCTCCACCTTCAGGGGAGCATCTTTTCCGTTGTGCTCATTAAAGGGAGGATTTCTGCCCCTCCTGCCCCTGGTTTTGGGGTGTTCAGGAGCCCTGACAAAATATGCAGCCTGGAGGCAGTTCTAAAATGCTTCTTGGAGTCCCCCTCTCAAACCTAAATGACCCCAAGCAGAAACCTCAAGGAGAACCTAGATGGTATAGTGAATAGACACATGCGAGGGGGTAAGAAATCATAGGCTGGCAGGGCCTGGCATCAGATCAAGCTCCTGCTTTGGCAATAGAGGATTTGCGATCCACTCTCTATGCAAGCAAGAGCTCTGCAGCAAATCCTCAGCCAGGGTGAACACTTCTATCTGTGCCTTAGATCACGTAATTGAAAATTGGTCACATCTCTGTAAGCTGTATGATAATCAGAAGGAATATGGCTCAGTTACTTCAGGCTGCAGAAAGGAGACAACTTCAGCGATCAGACACAAAGCTGGACTGGAGGCAGCTGCTGTTTCTGCTTCAGAACTGAGGTGGGGAGTTGAGGGGGGATTTGGGGAGATAGGCTTGCTGTGGCAGGACCTGTACCCAAGGAAACATCTCATAACCTGTGTGTTTAATCTCACATCAACCAAGGGCTCTTCTTGGTCTACTAAAAATATTTCAAGACAGCAGTTTATACTGTATCAACTAACTAGAGGCAAGCAAATGGAGGGGAAGGTGGAATCAGAGGAATGAAGTGAAGGCTTCCTCTCTTGGTTCAAACACCCATGTTGTTTCCTGTATTAATAATAAATATTTTAAAAACAGGAAGATCACAGAGGAGCCCTTAGCCAGTCAGGAGGTCGACTAGAGCTCAAAGGCAGAGTTTGCTAATATATAGATCTGGAAAGAAGTTCATGCATGGCAATGCCCCCAAAAGGACACTGTATAATTGTGAATGGATAAGTGTGACCCTAAGAAGACACAGCAAATGATTCAAAGCGAAACCTGGGTGTGCTGAGTTTCTGAGCTTTATGTCTCCATTTCAAGAACTGGGATTTGTAAAGCATTCTAACACCTTCATCTACAAGGCTATGGCCTTGAGCAAAAATACAAATAAAACTAGTGATAATTCAGGAACTTCTGAGGCAGGTCTCCTTTGACCCCAGATCCAGATTGGGTTCCTCTCAGATGTCTAATTACTCTAGCCAGCCATTTGGGTGCAGTCACACTAGCCTGACCTGGGAAGTCAGTGAGATTTTATGGCTAGCAGGATGAGGGCAGGAACAGTTTGGGGCTTCGATGCTTAGAGAGGGGACCCTGAGGGTCTGCCCTTGGCTTTGCTTCCTAACCTGGTCCTGCTGAATGACCACCATGCAGACTCTTATTTACATATATCTTGTTTGACATGCATTCTCTGCCCCTTATGCCACAGGATCCCTCTCAGCCTCAGAGAATGCAGTATGAAAGGGACCCACTGATACCCCAGCAGGTTTTTTTTTTTTTTAAAAAAAGACCATATGGAGTCTCCTCAGGTTTGTAAAATATTTATCTGATATTTACACTTAGGGCCCCCAGGGTGCAAGGTCACTACCCTTCCCCCAGCTAGGCTACTCCAAGGGAGAGAAGCCCAGGAAAGGCATGCCTGGGCCCTGTGTTGGCTGCATCGAGTTCTTTCCTCCTCTGAAGGCAGAATGCCTGTAGCTGGGCCCCGCTGCAAAGTGCCATCCGGCCAGCCCTGTAGCCTCCCTCGGGCAGGAGCCCTAATTTGGGCTTGGTTTCCCACTCTAGATATTCATTCCTACTTTGGATATTTCTGCAACAGAATTCCCCCAACTGTGGACTGACAGACAGTATGAGCTCTCAGATCAATCGTCTGGTTGTGGTAGCGAAACTAGGTGAGCAGGGGGTGTGATGCAGTACATATTTACACTCCATGAGTTATACCCAGATAAGAAAAGGAGGCAGAATGTGCAAAACCCATGTCTCGCTTTTTATATGGTAGTGTCAATGTGGGAACCCTCAATATTTCTTCTACAGTATCTGGAAAAGAAATTATGTAAATAAATAACCATTACCGCTCAGGCCCTCCCAGCTTAGCCTTTGTAGTGCAGAGAATGTATTTCATGTTGTGCATTCAGAAGAGTTTAGTGTTCAGGAAATATAGATGTAACCAGCTGCCATAACTAGAAATCAAAGTTATTATTGTGCTGAAAATGGATTTCTTGTATTTATGTTAACTAGAAGGCTCCTTTCGGGGAAAGTCTCATTTATCTGAGAGAATATTTAGGTGTATGAATTAATGAATTTTTTTAAAAAAGTAAGTTCAGGTCATGACCTAGTCCTTGGATGCTGTCCAGAATATTAAGGATTAAACATACCATCCGGAGGCCAAATGTGAAAACCACCACAGGGAACCCCCGTGCCAGCTTCAAATACTTATCCGGAGTAAACCTCGTTGGACAATATGTCTAAAACTGTCTTTTCCATCATTCAAAGTTTGCTTAAAAGTTGGATGACTTTGAGAAGGCTTCCCATGAATTCCCTTCTGGCTAGCAATCAAAACAAGTTTAGTCAAAAGTGGAAATGTATTGTATGGATGAGGGGGGTGAATTACTACTGACAGCTCTATTTCCACTTTCAGATATTCTTCTTGCAATTTTTCCAACAAAATAATGTTATTGTTCACTTCTCGGCCTCCCTTACACCTTGAAGACTTGGTTTAAGAAATATCTTTGTGAAAACTTTTTTTAAAGGAACACTTTTCACAGGGACATTTTAGGGTGGAAAGTTGAAAGGAAAGCATGAATAATTCCACAGTCTTCCTTACAGCCTGCACAGTCCTTGCCTCTCTCTGGGAAAGGGCAGGAGATCAGAAAAGTCAAGGGGGTTCAAAGAACCTTGGCGGGGGGGGACAAGGAAAAGGGAGGGAGACTTTTCTTGAGAAGACCTCTGTCCAGCTCCAAGTCACATTTCTGCTTCAAGACACCTCACTGGATGAGATTTTAAAACCCCAGCTTCCCCGACACTGGCTTGCTTCCTGATTAATTTGGCTAAAGAGCTGGGTAGTGGAGAGCCAGACAGGCCCCAGGCCTGCCAGAGCTAAAGCAGCCGGGTCGCTGCTTCCCAGGCTCTTTGTCACTTTTGAAAAACACGTTTCCATCAAGAAGACTTATTAAGATAAAATGCATTCAAACACCGAGGAGGCTATTCAATAAATCTTCCATTTGTTTTAAGGTTCGCACTTTATCCTCTTGCAAAGAATAACTCCCTCTCCCACTAGCAGACCTGCATTTGCACTGAAAGTAAAAGGGGGGCAGTCCAAGTCCACAGCTCAGGCCACCCTGCATACAAATGAGATGCTCTTGTCTAAACAAATTATCTGCTGTTCAGATCGATATTAATACTACATTTGCTACATTACAATATTGTGCAAATTTAAGAGTCATTTTAATACAATGTAAATATGATTCTTCACGCATGAAAGCCAGGAAATATTGATAGATTATACCACTGCTTACTGTTCAACGAGGCCTTGGGAAAGGGGTTTTGCCATCTCTGCTCAAGAGTGGTTTTAATTTGGCCTTTGGAGGTCCTGCCTCTAGGATAGATTTATTAGGATGGTTTATTTGTTCTCTGAATGGAGGAATTAAAAACAATAGCGCCAATAATGGTGGTAAACCGGCAGCTAACCCTACTCACAGTGGGCAAGGCCCGAGACCCAGTTTGAGCAGCTCTGTTCCCCACCAGCGTCCTTTCTGGCTTTGTTTTTATTTCCCCCCATTACCTGCTGTCCTGGGTGTTTATATGTTTCCCTCTTGCAGGTTACAATAATAAAAGGGGGGCAGTGTTCTCAGAGGCTCGGACCAGAGCCTTCAAAGGCAACATTAATGCATTTTCCTGGAAGTTAATTTGAACCATCTATCATAAGAGAAATTGTTAACATGCATGTTACCACTGCCTACATTTAATTTGATATTTTTAAGGCACTCTGTTAAATTTCCAATGTTCGTGCGTTTTGCGTGGCTATGAGATTTATCTCCGGGACGGGAATCCTCCCATACTTGCGGGTTCTACAGTATTGCTTTTGTTTTTCATCTTTCTTGATTAGATCGAATACGTTTTTTACGACCCTCAATAACCTCAGCAACTGCAAACATGAATGGTTTCCGATAAGGGAAAATCAGGATGCAATAAAGCGGGATTATTTATGATTTATTTGCCCGTACTCCTCTCTTTCTCCCTCTCTGTGTCTCACTGTGTCGGGAAAGTCAGCCAGGGAGCGTGCCACACAGAGGAGAAAGCCACATTCCCACGTTCTCTTCCTTCCCTCTCCTCCCCCAGAAACGCTGAGCTCCGGCACACACGCACACGCACATCGCACACACATGCACACCGCACACACGCGCAGCCAGACGGATCCACGGCACCGCCTCCCCGCCCCACCCCCCGCCAGCCACGCGCCCGCCGCCGCCGCCGCCGCCGCGGCCCCGCGCGGGGCTCCAGGCCGCCAGGCTGGGCCACCTAGCCGCCCGCGCCCGCGCCGCCTCAGCTCCCGCACAGCGGCGCTCCGAAGATGGCAGCGGCGCCGCCGGCCGCTTCCCCGCGCGGGGGCCACAGGTCCCGGCCAGGCCGGAGGTCCGGCGAGGGCCCGGCCGCGGCGGGTGCAGCGGCGCGGCGCAGGAGGCCGGGCCCGAGCGGAGCGGGGCCTGCGGGCGCTCCCGGCGCGGCCTGCCCTCCCAGCGGCCGCAGCCTCACCTGACGTGAACAGCACGATGGCTTTGAGGCAGCTGTACTCGGCCGAGTCGACGTGTAACGCCTTGAGCTTCTCCACCTGCTCCTGGAAGATGCGGATGTGGTCCATGAAGGCCACGACGCGGTCGGCGGACATGGGCGAGGCGTGCAGGCCGGCGGCGGCCAGCAGCGGCGCCACGTGCAGCGGCATGGAGCACTGGGCTGCGTTGAGCACGAACAGCTCGCTCCAGGTCAGGCGTAGCAGGGACACCTGGTCGGTGATCTGCAGATCCGGGAAGAAGGGGATGTTGCGGGCCCACTCGACGGCGCTGAAGAGCAGGCGCGCGGCCAGCTCGCAGATGTTCTCGATGCCCATGATGTTGTTGGGCTGCATGCATTGGCTGCCGTAGCGCGACGTGGGGTAGGGCTCCGCGCGCAGCAGCAGCGAGATGTAGCCGGACAGGTAGCAGTGGCCGTTGAGGGGGTCCCCGTTGGTGAGTGCGTACTGGCCTGGATTGGGTTGAGTTGGAGGCATTCTTCCTCGCTGAACCGCTGACGAAAAGAAAGAGAGAAAAGAGGCAATGTGCATCCAGGGGGCTTGCGAACATCCCGTGCCGCAGCGCGCCCGACACAATACGGAGGTTCTTCCCGCAGCCACAAGCGCCCCGGGGCATCTCCTTTGGCGCTCGCTCTCACAGCCCATACCCGGAGGCAATCTGGGGTGAAGCCCTCCAGCTCCGCGGCTCGGTATGCCCAGCCGTCTCCTGCGCCCCTGGCCACCCCAGCCCTGCCAGAACTAGGCCTGAGTTACGGGCCCCCAGCCCGGTATGGCCAAGAAAATGCCACCCAGCCCCTCGACCACCAACAAGTCACACACAGATTAATGAAATCCCACTCACCCCTCCAGAAGGAACCAAATCAGGGTAAAACAAAAACAAAAACAGGCGAAACCAGAGAAAGGTTGTGGTTCTAGGCAAATGCCTAGCTGCCTCTTCATTTGCAAGCAAGCTGGTTTTGCTCAAAATGTTTCCATATTCTCTAAAAATGCTACGGAATTATCCTTAAAATAGATACAAGTTACATACCCTACTAACCACTTAACAACTTTTGAAGAGAAAACAAGTATCCTGCACCCCTCCCCTATCCCCTCCTCCCCATCGCCCCACACAAGGTTCTCACTGTTAAAAGCAACAAAAAATTGAAAAAAAATCAAGAAAAAAGTTGAACTTACAGTAGCCAAACATTATTGAAAAAAGTGGAAAATATAATTAATGTCTGTCCTGCGCGGTGCCACTGCAACCTGCAGCCAGCTTTTGCCCAGTGAATGCACGAGCTTGCAACTGCAAAAACACTGGATTCATTAACCATCTGAATGCAAAACGTAAGCATGCTTTGAGTTCTTAAAGCTGACCAAAGTTTTTTTTTTTTTTTTAATGTGTATGTTTTACTTCAACAGTGCCAGCGTTTTAAATTGCCATGTAAACAAAGACAACTTTAGGAAAAGTTAGGGCTACTGAACTCTCCCCCCCAGCAAATTAATATAGATATGTCCATGTACACGTAGCTATCTTACTTCAGGTTATACACTATTTTCTTAAGTTTGCATTGATTCTAATTTTAATGCAAGCCCCAGTGCAATTTAAGCTCTTGAAACATAATGGCTAGAATACTTTTTTCTAATTACAGTTTTGAACTTGGCAGTTATTTTTCAATTAAATGAGAGTACAATTCAAAGTTTTTTGTTTTGTTTTGTTTTTTGTTTTTCAGATGCCTATAAAATCTCCCTGGAGCTAGAAATGAAGTCGTCATATTTGCCTGCTCCTTGAGATCTGAAGGAATTCAATTTCTTTTCTTGTGGCATATAAAATATAATTTTAAAGTCAGTTACAAGAAGGAGTAATCTACATTCTACAAAATTGACTGGATCACTAATTTGACTATAAGACATCTTTAATGATTGTCAGGAGATAAACTTTAATTGTAAATGGCTAGATATATTTATAAGAAAAGTGCTGCATCTCTTGCCACATGAACATGAAGCATATCTAAATACAACATCAAAAGTTGTGTTAAAAGAAACCAAAGCCATACAACACAGGGATTAAATGATGTGGAAGCTCATGCCAGCTGCAGTCTATGCATTATAGCCAAATCAGAAGGATCGGTAAATGCCGCTGTAAATTGTAATTTGTATGCAGTATTTAAGCAGAGGGTGGAGTTTGGTGAAGAAGTAAAACGAGTATCATGCTTTAAAAAAAATGACACAACTATGAAAGCACGGTTCAGTCACAAACTTTCCTTTGAAAGTAGAGGGGTAAAAACAAGGCTACAGCTCTGGAGGAGGCGGCCCCAACTCGGTGAAGAGGAGAGGGAACCAGTGAACAGGCCAGAAGCCCCCCTTCCCCCCTAATTAGACCTACAAGTGCAATAAATCTCACTCCTCTTTTTCCAAGCTAAGCTTCCAAAAGGATGATGCAGTAATGAATCTATGGTTCAGAGTACTCCAGTCTCCAGCCCTCCCCCATTTTAAATAAAGGGCATGAAGAGGTGGAGGGGAAAGTGGAATGAAAAAACACAGAAACAGAGTTTTCCGGGGGAAATAAGCACCCCTCCCCAAGTTCATGCCAGCCCAGCCCCAAGCATCCTCACGCACACGCGGGAAAGAGACACGCACCGAGCACATCCAAGACAGAGGGAGGGGATTTTAAGCCACAGCTCACGATCCCAGGGACAAAATCCTGAGCAGGCAGAGGGTGGGGTGGAGGAGCCGGGGAGAGGAGCGCAGGCCGGGAGGGGGAGGCAGCGGCAGCGAGCTGGGGTGGGTGGGGGCGGCTGGAGACGCCGGGGGAGGAAGGTAGCGGGGACAGGGGAAGCTGGGACGGACCGGGACCGCAGGAACCCCAGCCCCATACAGCAGCCACCCCCGCGAGAGAGAAAGAAAGAGGGCCGGGGAGGCGGGCGAAGCTCAGGGAGAGAAGCACAGAATAAATATTCACCTTCCCGCCTCATGCCCACTTTGAGGCACTTCTTGAGGCGGCAGTATTGGCACTGGTTGCGGTGGTGCTGGTCGATGGGACAGTTCCTGTTGGCACGGCATGTGTAAGTTAAGTTCCTGCGGACGCTCCTCTTGAAGAAACTTTTGCAGCCCTCGCAGGTGAACTGGCCGTAGTGCTTGCCGCTCGACTTGTCCCCGCACACCACGCACTCGATGTGCTGCTGGCTCTGGCCCGAGCCGGGCGGTCCCTGGCCCTTGTCCCCTGCCGTGCCGGGGGTGGCGGGCGCTCCGGGCTGGCCCGGGGTCTGCGGCGTGTGCGGCGCGCCCGAGCCCGCCTGCTGCTGCTGCTCGCCGGCGCCGCCGCCGCCGCGGGCCGCCTGCGCTGCGGGGTTGGGGCCGCCGGGGTTGCCCCCGGCCACGTCGTCCTGCGGATCTCGCCAGCTGCTAACTACCATTGCCATATCTTTGGGCCCGGGGAGCGCTGGGGGGAGCCGAGCTGCTCGCCGAGGGCCGCGGGGCGCGCGGGCGCGCTGGGAGGGGAAGGGGAAGGGGAAGGGGGGAGGGGGAGGGGGCGGGGGGGCCCGCCCGGCGCCCCGGGGTCGCGGGAGCCGAGCCCGAGCCGGGCACCAGCCGCTGCCTCCGCCGCCGCCGCCGCCGCCGCTGCCGCCGCTACTGCCTCGGCCGCCCCGCTGCTGCTGCGCGCCCGCCCGCCCGGCTGGCGTTTTGTTGTGGTTCCTGCTGTTTTCTTTCTCTCTTTTTGCAGCCCCCCCAGGCTCTCAGGCTCCCCCCCCAACACCCCTGCTCCCCTCGCCCGCTCCCCCCGCGCTCCGATCCTGGGGGGGCCACGCTCTCCTTCCCCCCCCTCCCCACCCCC